TTCATATGATATCGGATGTGGAATTACCGAAATTAAATTTGATACATCTCTAATAGCCTCATATAATATAGATCACGGATAAATCATTATTATCTTTATTGATATTGAAAAGTATGCTTTGTAACAGTCAATGTCATAATCAATCGTGAAAAATAAAATAAAAATATTTTTGTTAAAATATAATTATTTATATAATAAAATATAATATACGTATAAATGTATAATGAGATAGCTTATGAACCATTATATAATAAAATAATAATTACACAAAGTACACGATATAGGTATTGTCCATTTCATGAAATGGATGTCCATATAATGTATTTTCCTCAAAATTCACTATCTGGATATCCAGTTCATGAAATGAGTAGTTTCACTATGTGGATGCGACATATACATGTAGAATAAATACTTTTGGTAATTAAATACGCGGATAGAATATTAATGGAATAAGTAAAATAATAAAATACGATTATACTATAATTATTGTATGGATTTGAATAAATAAATTAATAAATATAATTTATATAAAATTATATGAACCTGATGTTTAGTTATATATGTGACAGAATCCGATAGTTCAGATATTGAAACTAGTTCTGCGGACAGTTCAGTAAAAGTTAAAAAATATAAAACTAAGAATGAATTACAGGCGGCAATATTAAAAGACGCCATAAAGAAAGAATTTATTGAACAAACTAGGAAACAGATAGTTAACGCCGAAAGAGCTGTTAGGGAAAATGTTGTAAGAACACTTAGTTTAACAGACAAACTCCTTACGCCACAAAAGGGGGGTACAAAAATTACCACTTCGGTCAAGTAGTCGATCAGACCCAAACGTTGTTCATATTAGTTTAGATTGTTTAGAAATATTAGGTGCTACGATTTAGATTTTAAAGGAAATTTCTATATGCTCTTGGAGAAACCAAAGGGAAAAACGACCGAAAGAATATTCGAGTATAGTGTAGGTAGAATACAGAAAAATGGTAGAATGTTGAATTTAACTGAAGCGCATAACAGTATCTGTACGAAAAACCACAAGATAACATACCCTCACGATCCAAAAACGGATGTGAGATTTACCAAATGCATATTCAACAAAATGGTTAGGGAATATGGGTACCAAAATTTAGTAAGACAATTTAAATCAATAAATTAATGACTTAAATTGCCTAGGTCAATATAAACAATAACACGTACAGAACACCACAATGTAAAATATAATTATTACGAATTTATAACTTTTTATGATGGCAACTAACAAATAGCTTAATTAACAAAATTAAAAGTAAATAAAGAGAGCAGGAAGTAACGATAGATACTAGTAAACAGTTGTAAATACAATACAAAAATAATAATTTAAATAAATTTAATTTCAGAATAGAAACAGAAAGGGAATAAGATTAGAAATCGGTCCGGTGTATAATGGGGGTTTATTTGATCTATTATTATTAAAAATTGATCAATGGGACACTATTATATGCCGAACAGATTAAAATGTTGGAATTTGGTCATTTGGTGGTTGGTTCAAAAATTGTGCACATAACGAATTTTTTTAACGGAGCCACCAATGGACCAAACTGACAAATAAATCTCAGTAAGAAATTGGAAGGACAAGGTCTTGTTAATTTAGCCAGTGTCGTAGAATGATGCTTTGATTTGTAGCACATTTTGACGTCGCGGGTTCGATTAGCAGATAAAAACACATGCAACAATAGAATAGAATAAGAACAATTTAATGCTTGTCTTGATTATGTAATAGAACTTAAATAAAATAGTTTATTGCTAGTCTAGACCTGCAATAAAAAGATATAATCAAATAACAGTAATAGGAATAGTAATATTAACTAGATATAAAATATAATGATATAATGGAAAATATATATATATAAGAAAAGATATAAACGTAGAAAAAAAAATGAAAAAAATGAAGAAAATGAAGAAAAAAAAAAAGGAAAATATAGGATTACATTTTTATAAAATAATATACAAAGACATAGAGGAACATATTAGCATAATATATTAGACATAATTAACGTGGTGATTGAAAAAGAAATGTATTAATCTAGCTTATTTAAAATATAATTAACATGGTGATGAAAAAAATATATATATACCATTATTTTATCATATATATATATATATTTATATATATATAAATATACATATTTAGTTATTTTGTATTTTTGTTGTAACTTAAAAATATTATTTGTTGATATATTATATTAAACTTTTAGAGTACCTATATTGTGACCCACTTGTAACCTACTAGTCAGCAGAGCGAGTAGCTACATCCACTATCATCGTACACCCATACATTTGTTTATGCAGCGTATGTCTTGACTAGTAAAATTTAAACAGTTTGAATGTAAAAAACAATTGCTTCTACAATATATTAATATAATATAATATAATCAAAATTAAAACTTACCGTTATGTAATTGGAATTCAAACGCCATTTCATCGCCATTTCAATCGCGCATTAACATTGCTTTTGTGTTTTTTCAGTTTTGATAACGATAACTTTTTTTTTAGAATTACCCATAGTGTTTTATTTATTTTTCAAAATATTTTATAAAGAAAACAGAATCATCAAGTAGATCACTGTAACTGTACAGGCACACGGCAAATGTGGTAATAATATTATCAAACGTCAGAAATTATAATAATTAATATTATATTATCCAGTATCTATTTTATTTTGGAAAATTGTCGATACTATCTATAAATAATTTACGTTTGTCAGTCACGCGCCGGAATCGCCTAATTTGTACATTTTCGCACGCGCACCCACATGTCACTACAAAACTGCTACTGTTTAAAACATAACGCATAGCTAATTTCCAACGTACCGATTAATCTAGTATAGCGATAAGAATTCTGAAAACAGATTTGAATTTGTCGTCAAGTCTTCTTGAGATCGACTTTCCCACATTTTTGCTTTTTTGATTTAACCTTCTCCAAAAATTGAAATATGTCAATTTTTTAATTACTCTTTTGAATATATCGTTTTTAGGATTTTTGGAGGATAATATCAAAAATGTGGGAAAGTCGATCTCAAGTAAACTTGACGACAAATTCAAATCTGTTTTCAGAATTCTTATCGCTTCACTAGATTAATCGGTACGTTGGAAATAGTACACGTCTATAATCCTATGTTGCACGTGTGTTAGACAAAGACAGAAAATCACCGCTTCCAATCCCCTTAATAATAATAATATCGATGGTACCGCGTATACAGTACGTGTGTAGGAATATCGAGCGCGTGACAATGAGCGGAGTGCGGCAATAGATATATGACTGACTACGTATATAAATAATTCTAAAAATACTATAAATTAGATTTGTGTTGTTATATTAATATGTCACTTATACTAATATGAAAATATCACAATATTGTTACTATTTTTGACGAACTATGTGTAGGTACATTTAATGTATTTATTTTATATTGTGGATACCAGTGTACAGTGGTATTTACACTTGGTAAATAAATGTATTGGTATAAAACACCTTTATAATAAAATACCTAACTGATCTTAACCCAGGGGCGGATTGGCCAACCGGGAATTCGGGAGTTTTCCCGATGGACTGCCCCTAAGCAATAATCTGTTTTTAATTTTTTTTAAGTATTTAATCACAATTTTTGATAAAGAACTAGAAAATAAAAAAAGACCTATCTTGTGAGCATTTAATCATTGGACGCAACATATCTGGGTATAGGTATGGACCTACTAACTATATTTTTGGATGCTGGTATATAGACTATAATATAGTATGCACTGTACTGCGTATACTGTAACCCATATATACCCCAGAATAGATATACTATAGACCTAATAGTACTATAGTAGACATTAAAAAATATATTAATCAATTAAAATATTGTTTTTAATAATCTGTTCATAAATAATAATATTAAATATTTTTTTTATGTGATTGGATATTGCGGTGATGATAATAATATGTAATTATCATATTATCTACCTAGTTAATGTGGTTGATGTTGAGAGTGTGATATCTATAATTAATGTAATTAATGAACTTAAAATTACTATAAAAATAAACTGTGATTGTGTATTTATTAGGTTTTTTTGGTAACAGAATTAACTAGGTACTTATGTGGAATCTTGTTTTATATTTTCAAGTCTTAGATTTAAAAATAAAAATTTTAATGAATTCTTACTCAAAATAATTTGTTAATTTTCGTGATATTTCCATATTTTGTCAATTTTTGAACTTTAAATGCTTATCAAAAAAACCCAGACTAAGGATTTTTAATATTTTTCAAATGTAATTGTAACAATATATTAGGAGCATTGTATTACATTTTCAAGTATTTTTACTCAACAAATAAAGTTTTATTGACATTCATAGAAAAAAAAACTAATAAAATTGGTAAAAAAAAATGGAGTAGTCAATTTTTTTGTCATCATTTGGCGTGTCTTAAGTAATTGTCGACTACTTTATGAAATGTTGTTTCTTCCAACGCCCTTTTTATTAAACCTGACAAAGCCTCTAGAACAGCGTTTCTCAAAGTGTGGATCGCGAACAATTTTTTGAACTTTATAGATTCCAAGAAATGTATGTTGAATTAATATTATACTTATCTTATTGTCGTAATATAGTAACAACAATTACGTGGGTAATAAATAATAATTCATGTTTTCAAATTATATAGATTCCAAGAAATTGGATGAATTGTGAGTAATAATGATTACTAATAATTCGTCATATATTTATTACGATGGATATTAAATTGTCGTTATCGGAAGAATTCCGTGATAAAATACGATTAAGTCGCAACTCGACAACAACGACTATCAGTCGTTACTCGTTAGTCACTAACGGACTAAGTTGTACCTGGGCTTGCTGGTTGTTATTTTATTTACCGTTTGTGCAAGTTTATAATACGTATATTACTATAGTTTATAATACGGGTGTTTTGTGAGTTCGTTTTTGTACTATTTCTACAACAAATTATCAACAAAAATTTGATGATGGATAAATGGTTGATGAATAAGCGAACATTTGAAACCACTGAAGATGAACATTCAACTTCGAATTTAAATATAAAACGAAAAAAAGTGACGAGAAAGTATGATTCAGAATACCTGAAAATTGGTTTTTCTTGGAATGAAGATATTGATGATCCACGACCACAGTGTATTATTTGTTATGAAATGCTTGCAAACGAGAGTATGCGTCCTAATAAATTACGTCTAAGAGTCTAGAAAAATAAATAAATAATAATAATTATTATTATTAGATTCTGAGCGGAGCAAGGAAGCTAGTGGTTTTACAATGGTGTTTATTTTTTTTTTTTTTTTTTTTTTTATATCCTGTATACAAAATTTCTACCAGAAGGAGTGCTTTGATTTCAACATATAGTACCTTATCTTTTAGCAAATTGGACCAAGATGGTACTTTAGAGAGGTCATTTTTCGATTTTCTCAATAGTTATTTAATGCCACGGGAAAAAGTACTGAAAAATTACGAAAAACCGCTTAAAATGGGATTTTAATTTCTAACAATTTGTTTATCACCGTAGCAACGAATAAAAAAAATAATAATTAAATAAATAAAATAATTAATGACAATATAAAATATACAGACTGACAAACCGTCTCCGTTCAGAATCGTTTTTCTTATACAATGATATTATATCATTGAATTCAAGTTTAATACAATCCATTAAACAATGACCAACTTGTAACCTACTGTACAGCTGAGCGACATCCACTTACCTGCCTTTTATTAATATAATTTTTGAAACAATTGACTATTTTTTTTTTTTTAAGCTATAGCTTAATAAAACCAGAAATGTATTTTATGGGTACCCTTCTTCATAATGTCTGTGTTATAATTTTATCAATTATAATATTGTGGGACCACAAAACCAAATCAAACTTTCTCGGAAATAAAACATTACATAATACAATACATTTTTTTTTAATACTGAAAAAATATAAAATATATCTTATATAATAAAACGCTAATATAATATAAAACACTTGGGTATATCGGGCATCGGCGCTTATATTTATTGTTGTCAGGCCAAAGAAGGTGTTTTAAAAAAAAGTTGGTGCAAATGTACACCCTGCACCCCCTCCAAATTACGCCCCCGAGTCTTACCTTTCCTTTACCTACCTATTATAAATTAGTTTGGGATTTATAAGTTTAGATTGATAACATACCAATATTTAATGTAAATCATGAAATCGTGAATACCTACTGAATAATGATGATTAATGTCTCGGAAATTTGAGTTTTTTCTGTATAAAGTGTATCGCAGGACGCAGGCGTGCAAAATATATTTTGTACCTATACGTCATACGAATGTTATTGTTCGTAGCTACACGAATATCTTTTAACTATATGTTGTATGTGTACCCTAATTTATAAAAATAATAATAATAGACATTTTAATATTCATATATGGCCAATGAGCTGAGGCAGCATATTGTAATATAAATTATAATATAAAAAGACGCAAGCACCGTGGTAAAGGGGCAGTGCGGGTTTCCTGGTGAGACACGTATGTATTTGTAAACGTTCCAGCGAGACTCGTATTTTGATGTGTTTGTTTCTACATAACAAAAGTAATTTTAATAGTTGTGGATTTTAATCGATTATTTTGTGTACCATCGAGAGATAGGTATACGACATATACCTACAGATATTTTTCGTACTAACCGACCGTTTACCACAGCAGTTGGCGACAGACGATAGTACGATACTATACTTTTTGAGGGAATGAAATATCGATTTGTCTAAATATTGTATCAAAACAATTTAAATATAATTTAAATTTACAATATTTTTTTTTTTATTTTGAAAGTCTAAAACAAAATCAAATACCAATAATATAATAAAAACCATAGGTATGTCACTCTCTCAAAAATATTATTCTCTGTCTTTTTTGTAATGGGTGATTTTACTCTCAGATTACCTACTTAAAAACATAGAAAAAATTTGTATAAATTTTGTTTATGGTTTTGTTTAATACCTGGTACAGGTTTTGTCTGTGTTGCGTGTAGGCTAGAGAGAGAAAACAATTAGTGTGCTGACATCAGCTTTATAAATTATACTAATATTTTATAAATAATCAAAGTATAGATGAGCGAAGTGGATTGGCAGGAATCTATGAATCCACTTATCTACAATGACAGACTACACTTTAAATACGTAGGACGTAGGTAGAAATAATTATAAATAATTAACTTTTCATTTGAAAGTATATTAAATAAATATTCTGCTTTAAAATATGAAATAAAACTTATAATAATATGGCCAGCCAAAGAAGTGAAAAAAATGAAAAAACTTAAAAGTAAAACTCTTAAAAAATGAAAACGATAAAAATAACAACAAACATTTTTTTCTTCAAAATATCGTTTTGTCTTTGACTTCAAAATGGGTAAAAACATTTTCTTCATATTATTTTTGACTTTTCTATTGTATTAGAATTTAGAACCACCTATTCTATATCTCTTGTGAAAATGAAATCAGTCATTGAAAACTAAAATAAAATAAATATACTGCAAATATACGTATACAAATAAAATAATAAATTTGTATAATTTCTTCTAATGATTTAAATATGTCAGGTAAATTTTTTAATTGAATATAAATTTTAAAGCAACAAATAAAAATAAATTAAATATAGCTATTAAAGCTTGTAAGTAAATTTTACAATTTACTTAAAAATATGTGATATAGTTATATTGAACGTTGGTATCAAAATGTGATGTAAATAACTAATAAGGTAAATCGCGAGCCCAGAGTGACTTTGTAATACCTAACTATATAGGTAGTTGGTTGAAGTTTCTACACAGTGGCCTCTCGTAAGTAAGGCAGACCCCTAGTAGAAATTTTCTGGCTACGTGCCTGTTGATAGGGCTTCCGAGTTCCGATAGTCGCCACTCGCCGTAATACATACTCCCTCTCGCAACTCTCTCTCTGTACCGCGTACAGCGTACTGTGCCGCGAACAACGGACGCGACCGGGTCCGCGATCGAAAATCTACCGCGACCGACTCTTACCGAAATACCGCATACCGGTATAATAGTTTTTTGTTACCGTGACACCGAGCACCAGAGTTTGTGTAATGCGTTACCGCTTACCGTTCACGGTTCACCGTCTACCGCCATCTGTCACCTGCGCACCGTCTACCATCACCCGTCACCCGGGACTGCAGCCGCCGGCACGGTTTTTATATTCCTTCATATTATCTATACCAATTTGTGTATTTTATTTATTTATTATTATTGTATGTTTTTTATCTTCAATATTTTACCCATCAGCTGGCCAGCACTTATTGTGCCCTTTTACCCTTTTTTGTATTTTGTAATTATTCTAAATAGTAGACCTTCAATCCGGCAATCAAATTTAAAAGCACCGTGTTTATTGATTTACCAGGCTTCTAAGTAGAATAAGTTTAATTCCTTATACAGTCCACTATTCTCCGAAACAATAACAATTAATCACCTCGACACTCGGCCTGCACGGAATTACGTGCATAATATTATTTTATATTATTCTTATAATATTATTCTCACGGTGGTAGAATCTATATTATAATATTGATAAGAATATTTTTATCTGGATTTTGGTTTAGGTCTTGAACTATATATGATAATGTTATCATATAGTTCAATGGTCTTGAAGTGATTCTTAATTACTAGGCATATCAATAATATCATTACGTAATATTATGACTGTCATAATTATTTTTTCATATAATTTTCCCATGGACCTAGCCCCGGCCGGGGGGTGAATCTGTAACGGGAAATATGTAAAATAACATATTATAAATGATATACGCAGCGTCCCTGTTACATAGTTCGGAACGTGACCAAGTGGCGTATGCGCAATACACACTTACGTGGCACGAATAGCCATAGAAAAGAAATAAGACGAGATTGCGTTTTCACTGTTTTCACTTTTCAGCTCTGTCTGGCCAGTTGATGTATGATGTTGAGACCAAAGAATTAAGTACATTAGTATAGTTAAAATTAATTGTAAATGCCCGAGTGAAAAGAAGTCAACGATTTACGGTCGGCATTCAAACTGGTAAGAGTGTGTACTATATGCTTACCTATAATTATAAGTTCATGTGTAGATCATCATCTTATAATTTGATTGTTCTTATAGCATATATGTACAATTATTTTAGTTGAACGAGAAATGAATAATTATTCTCAGTTTGCACAAGAGCGTCCACCGCAACATGATGGCGCTCCTCCACGTTCACAACAAAACGGTCAACACAATTCGTCAGCTAACTGTAAGTAACAAGCTCTTTGAATGTTAATACTGATATGTTTTGGATTTATATTGGCAAAATGTATGATGGTGAATGTAATGATTAAATATAAAATGTTTACCTTTTTTTTATAACTATTGACCTTTAAACTTAAAGTATTGATGTATTGTTTTTTTTTTAAATAGGTATATTTTAATTTGATAATATACTAGATTAGATGATATACTACATAAAATTCTGAATACACATTTTAAGTATTAAGTGTAGAATATTATATTGTATAAATTATTAACTTATAGGCTTAGGAATTAAAACTTCTTTTTAGAACCAGATGCCTATCATAATCAAATTAAAAAAAAAAATTAAACAGTGGAATTGATGCTTTAAATATTGGTTGAATACAAAACTATTAATTTTATTGAAATAAATCCAGCCATTTCTAGTGTTATCACTATTATTTCAATATATTTTAACATCTGTTTTCTGAATTTAACAGTCAAGTTTATTTAAAATATTGTTTAGTACCTAAGTAGAATGTGTTTTGAACATCTATGAATATTTAATTAATGTTAAAAATACAATTTGTTATACCTTTATTATTCATTTTAAATTATAGATGTACCGTCTTATAACCAGGCCGAAAGACCGTTGAATGATCAATTTTCGCAACTGGGATTTAATAACGGACGATCACAACCACCAGTTCCAAATAATACTTTGGTAATTTATAGTTATTTTGTTATTATTTATAAAAATACACAATATATCAAAAATTTGATATTATTTTAATTCATCAACTCAGCAACCAGGCTTTCCACCACAACCTTATTCAACACTGCAGCAGCCAGGCTTTCCACCACAACCCAATTCAATTCTGCAGCAGCCAGGATTTCCACCACGGCAAAATTCAACTCTGCAACACCCAGAATTTCCATCTCAACCTAATAATTCAACTCTGCAGCAATCAGGATTTTCTCAATATAATTTTCCCAATTTAATATTGCAGCAGTCTACTTTTCCACCTCAACAGCAACAAGGTTTTCCTCCTCAATCAGGAAGTTTACCATCTCAACAAATGGGTTTTCCTCCTCAAACTGGTAATTTACCATCACAACAAGCACCTCAACAGCAGTGCTTAACGTCTCAACAACCTCAACATCCACAACAACCTGTGTATTCACAGCAACAAAATAGTTTTCATCCTCAACACCGTGGTTATCCACCTCAACAACCTGGGTATCCACCTCAACAACCTGGGTATCCAACTCAACAGCCAGGTTTTAATCAAGGTACACCAGCTTATATGAGTCAGCCAACTCCAAGTAGGAGATTAGATCCTGACCAAATGCCAAGTCCAGTAAGTATTTAACCACATTAGATTTGTTAGTTAACCAAAAATTAAAATATTTAATTATATTCAGGTACAAGTTATATATGATGACCAATTAAGTAAAAGTGGTTTATTTTTAACTAATCAAAGAGGTTTAGTACCCCCTTTGGTTACTACAGATTTCACAGTGCAAGATTCTGGTAATGCATCACCTAGGTTGATAAGATCAACTATGTATTGCGTACCTATTACAACGGACATTATGAAAGAGGTAAATACAATTTTATTTTAGTTATAAATAGTTAATATTATAAATAACTACTTTTAAAATATTTGTAGATATCTGTACCATTTGGATTAGTTATCAGTCCATTGGCAAAAGTAAAACCAGATGAATATCCTCTACCTATTATTGATACTGGTGAAATTGGACCAGTTAGATGTAAGAGGTGTAAAGCTTACATGAGTCCATTTATGCGGTTTATTTATGGTGGAAAACACTTCACTTGCCTTTTATGTAAATCTATAACAGAGGGTAATTTTTTAGTTTCCTTATATTAAAAATTAATTTTTAGCAAAATAAAATTTGTTTTTTAGTACCAGTTGAATATTTCCAACACTTGGATCATACTGGTCAACGGATCGACCTCTCTGAAAGACCTGAATTAGGTTTTGGATCATATGAATTTATCGTTCCAAAAGAATATTGTAGGGTATGTATAACAATAAATAATATTTTACAGGCTTCTTAAATAAGTTTGGGTATGGTCAGTTAGAATGTAATAGATATGACTCGTAAATGCATCATTTACATTAAGTTATAACTTGTAATGACACAGCTTTGAATGTGTTTAGAATAAGTAATGATGAGCACTTCACAAGACTGAGAGTCCTGTTAGTTATAATTTATAACCACATCCCAGTGTAGATTCTGATTATAAATAGGATTGTCTACTCACTTATTATATAGTAAAAGAGAAACTTGATAACTATTTATTAGTTCTTCAAACCGAGTATGGTTGCATGCATTATTTTATGGTATATGTATTAGCCATTCTGTATTAGCTGATTTCAAAGTTCCAGAACTGCATATTTAAAATGTTCATTTAATTATTTGAATTGTTTTCTCTAACTACTTGCTTCATTTACAAAATTAATTTGCTTAACTTTGAACACTTTTTGTTCCTAGTAGTTAACTATTATCATTATGATTAAATTGTCACCTACGTTCTATCGTTATTCTTTTCGTTACCTAATCTACTAATGACTACTATGGTATAACTGTTTCAGATATAGTATTTGGCATCTGCTTTTTTAAAATGATAAATATATTCTATTGATCAGTAGTCTGCATTAGTTAAATTTAATATAATGTTTTTATTTGTATTTTTTAGAAAGAAATGCAACCAAAACCTCCTGCGTATATATTTGTAATAGATGTTTCTTATAATAATATAAAATCTGGACTTGTTAAACTCATATGTGCTTTCATGAAAGAATTATTAACTCAATTACCTACAGAGTTGGGAAATGAAAAAAGTAAAATACGTGTTGGTTTTATAACTTATGATACAACTATTCATTTTTATAATTTAAAGGTAAGAAAATAATATAACTGTACTTAAGCTAAATTTAGATTGTTCAATTTTATTAAAACACAAAATAAGTATTTTCGAGTGAACATTATCTTTGTTCTTACGGTATGTCAATTGTTAAGTGAGTTATGAGTGTTTAATTTAACAATTTAAAAATACTCACATCTTGCTATAAAATTTAAATACTGTGTAAAAGCCAACATAAGTACACATACAATATTCTTAACTTTAAGTTAGATAGTTCACTGTAATACAAAACCATATAACACAACAAGTTTGGTCCTGCTAAACACAAATTTGCTATTTTTCGCATGAGCCAGATAAAGAAAACAAAAAGTGCACCCTCTTTGTCTTAAGCAAAACGTGTTTAATTTTTAACCTGTAAACTCAAGCTGAAGAAATGTTGTTTTGATAAGTGGCATCCATTACACATGTATCTAAGTTCATAACTAAAACAGTGTTACAGTTTTAGTGTCAATGTAGTTCAAAGGACCTGCTGTGTTGTCTCCATCTTATAGACGCATAGCATACCAAATTTACGCTCAGCAGTTTAATTTTTATGGCGTTAGCATAAAAATTTGATTGAATCGACCTATTATGAAAATGTATGGTAAGAACATTATCTGTGTTTTGATGGAAGTTTTTTTTACGATAATTTAGTTTTTAAGTGAGTTATGCGTGTACAATAAATGTGATTTAAAAATGTTCGTAACTCACTTAAAAACTGAATGATCGTAAAAAACTTCCATCAAAACACAGATAATGTTCTTAATAACTATTGATAACCATCAGGTTTCATAATAGGTCGATTCAAACAAATTTGTATGCTAATTATTACTTATTCACTTTTGCTAACGGCATACAACTTGAATTTCTGAGCTTAAATTTGGTATGTTACTCCTTTGTTAGACGAAGACAATACATGCGATATGGCGTCCTCTTAAGAGACACAAGTACAGTGCTGCATTTATATTTATGGACACTTTTAGTTATTATGTTGAAATTCAGAAAAAAAAGAATCATAGAGACTTGAAACAATTTACTATTACATATATTATTATTTTTTATGCACAATACAATATTTAGACAGATTTTAAGTTATTTATACCACAAACCTATTCATACTATTTTACAGTATGCAGTATTGACTTTTAATTTAATAACAATGATCTAAAGTAAATTCAACATACGATACTATTAATAGAAAAAGAAATTACTAATAGTTATATAAATAAATTATAAAATATCCTTAGATAAAAGGCCGGCTTGTATAAATATTAAATACACATGCTTATTACAGAAATATGTCAAAATTAGTCAAAATATGTTATAAAATTATTTTATTGTAAAAGAAATTTAATTTAATTAAAAAAAATGTTTAGCATTATACTTTTTGTACATCACTTAAAAACTTTTAAAAATGTACCTTGCCTGTTCATAGATTGGTATCCGTACGTTGATACATAATATAGATAATCTTCTTTTTCGGTCACATACTAAACCCGGTAATACAGGTAGGTGGTAGGTCACATACTAAACGAATACCTAATTAATATTAATAAATAATAAATATTATTTAAATTTTTATGCTTGTGTACTAAAAGTACAAATTTTAATTTTTGATACATTCTAATATATAATACTGTGCGACTGTACACATTCATGAATGTAACCGTGTAAAATCATTAGTATTGATGATTGTGTATAAACATAAATTTAATATGTACATTTAAATATTGGGGAATGTTGTACAGTGTACACATACTAAATTCTGATAGGTAGATAAAATGTATAATACATCCACAACTACATTAGTAATTAAAATAATTAAATTTAATTCCCTACTCTCAACACAAGCTTTTGCTTATAGAGAGTAGGTATTAACTTACAATCCATGAAATTTCTATTGTATATATATAAATATAGTTGAATAAATAAATAAATTTCAGGAAACATTAGCTGTTCCACAAATGATGATTGTTGGTGACACTTCAGAAGTTTTTATGCCATTGGTAGATGGGTTCTTATGTGATCCAGAACAATCATCTCAAGTTATCGATGCACTTATGGAACAAATTCCCACTCATTTCAATGAAACAAGGATTACTGAAACTATTCTTCTTCCAGCAATAAAAGCAGGAAAAGAAGCATTGAAGGTATGGTTTGTTTCGCAATATTGCAAGATCTATTCTTAAAATAATTGAATAATAATTTTAATATGTTATGTTCTTTTTCTAATAAGGATCTAAGCAAACTTTAATAATTTATTTTCAAAACATTATTTCTGTAGAATGCTGATTGTTGTGGTAAATTATTTGTATTTCATTCATCCTTACCAATAGCAGAAGCTCCAGGTAAACTTAGGAATCGGGAAGATCGAAAATTACTTGCCACCGATAAAGAAAAAACTATGTTGAGTAAGTTAAATCTTGAATAATTTTTAAATTTTTCTGATAAATTATACATAAACATTTCTTTAAACAGATCCGCAAACAAATGTGTATAAAGAATTAGGAGAGGAGTGTGTTCAAGTGGGATGTAGTGTTGATCTATTCATCACTAATAACTCTTTTATAGATTTACCTACAATCGGTCAAATTTCTAAAATTAGTGGTGGTGAAATTTTCAAATATACGTATTTCCAAGTAAGTTATTGAGATTTAATGTTTTGTTCTTATATGTTCATGTTGTCATTTTCTCATAATACTATTAATATTTTTAAATTTAGGCTGAAGTTGATGGTCAACGATTCTTGTCTGATTTAAAACATGACATAAGCCGGCCAACTGTTTTTGATGCTGTAATAAGAGTACGAACATCTACTGGTACTCGACCAACTGATTTCTATGGGCATTTTTTTATGTCAAATTCTATTGAGGTTGAGTTAGCTGCAATTGATTGTGATAAAGTAAGTACTTGAACTGCCAGTTTATATAAATATAATATTTTTTCATGAATTGCTATATATATGTATAGGTAACTAACCTTAAAATATGTATAATGTGATATACACTCTCACTCGTTTTGAAAATAGTATAATATATTATTTACTTTAAAGTTTAAAGTATTATCCTTTAAACTACACATATTTTTTTTTTAAATAACCTTCAGAATAAGCTACTATAATGTGGTTGCCACATAAAATAATGTGAACCCGTATTTGAAGTTTATATAAAAAAAAATATATAGTGTCATTTAAAAAATTTTAAGTACTTCCCCCATAAGATTGTTATATCTATCAATAAAACATCAAATACCTTCTATCAATACCCACCCATATTTAAAGTGTTGCCTGAGCAACATTTAGACCCTATATCAAACGCCACTGACCTCTATGAGACAATTTTATAATATTTAAAAGTACATACAATTAAGTATCATAACCATTTAAATTGATAGTAAATTATTTAATACCTTTAAATTTATAATATGTAATACAAATAATAAAACATAACACTATCTCTCTGTATCCTTAGTCAATTCAAATCCATGAACTTTTTGTCATAACCTCATAATATGTTATATTGATTTTTTACACTTAATTAATTGTTTAATATCAAGTATTTCCAGGCTATTGCAATTGAAGTAAAACATGAGGACAAGCTTGATGAACATGATGGAGTATTAGTACAAACAGCCATGTTATACACGTCATGTAGTGGACAGAGACGTGTGCGTGTATTAAATCTATCATTACGTTCTAGTGGACAAATGGATGAATTATATCGTAGTTGTGACTTAGATACAATAATGAATTTCTTTGGAAAACAAGGTATGTTGTATATTATGTTAGATACAGATTGAATTTTTAAGTTGTGTTTTAACTGTATATTTTAATTTAGTTATGTTTAAAATATTGGAAAGTTCTGGACGACAAGTAAAGGAAGCAATTACTAATAAAACTACTCAAATAATAGCTACTTATAGAAAACATTGTGTATCATCATCTTTAGATGCTCAACTTATATTGCCTGAACGCATAAAACTAATGCCTCTATATGTTAATTGTTTAATTAAATGTGATGCAATGTCTGGTGGTATGCTATTTAATGTACTTCCCTATGATAAAAATTAACGATTCATGTCTTTTTTTTATGTAGGTCCTGATCTGACAGTTGACGATCGTTGGTTTAATATGCATCTGGTTATCACTGCGGATATACCTACAACATTGGGTTATTTCTATCCACGTCTGATTCCCATTCATACACTTGCTGATAAAAAACTCTTGGATGATGTTTCAATACCAGATCAATTGAGGTGTTCTATTGAAAAGTTTGCAGAAAATGGAGCTTATATTTTGGGTAAACAGCATTTTTTTTTTTTTTTTTTTTGGCAACAATAAATATATTATTTATCTTTTTGTGTTTAGAAAATGGAGTATATATGTTTATGTGGCTTGGTATGGGTGTAAGTCAAACATTTTTGTCAGATGTGTTTGGTTGTAAGAACATAACATGTACAACTGTACATTCTGCCATTCCTGTGTTGGATAATCCACTCAACAAAGCTATTCATCACGTATTGTCTAAAATTCAAAAACAACGAAGCCACACAATGAGAGTATGTATACTTCTATAGCTAAATATTAATCTAATTTATATCAGGTATACGGGTGTGTTTAATGTTATATTTTATTTACAGCTTGTAATTGTACAGCAAAAAAATAAAATTGAAACTATTATGAGAAATTACTTAGTTGAAGATCATGGCACCGACAATAGTCTATCTTATGTAGAATTTTTGTGTCATATGCATAAGGACATTCTCGATTTTCTCAGTTAGCACACACAGAAATGGTAAACATATTATTTTTAGTACCTACTATTGTATTACTTAGTGTGGTTTGCTTTAAAATAATTAAAGAAAAAAATCGATTTTTATGTTATAATCTATTAAGTGTAATTATTTTATATAAAAAATAATGTTTGATTATTATTCATCTTTTACTAATGAACATTATTTCTTATATTCATTTTAAAATGATAATATATTTCTTTAAATAAATAATTATTGTATTATTCTGTTATAGTGTTATACAATAATATTTTTCCAATGATAATTAATAAATCAATTATTTTCCTACAATTATTTGAAATAAGAATGTACATTGCTCTAAAGATATTACTATAAATTAATTATCTATTGATAATTCCAGTTCAAAATATTTCATAATTTATAGTGTGCTTGTGATAACTGAATCCCAATAAATCCAATCAAACTAATCGGTGGACTTTTTCTATAAAATATTGCATTTTCTATATTTAAAACTTTATTCTTTATGTGTATTATTTTTAATGTTTAAATAATTTTGTTGCCTACAATGTGTGTTATATTCATTAAATGTGAGTGATTTATGGTTTATAATATAACAATGTAATCATCATGAAAACATTTAACTGTTACTCCAAGAAATTTTTATACTGTACATACTGTATGATAAAAATTCAATAATTCCAATATATTATATTAATTAGTTCAGGTTATTGTTGTCCCAATGTTTTATAGATTTGAGGATAAAAAAAGAATTTGTTCTAAATTATTTTGTAAATAATCATTCATCTTATTTTATTGATTATTTTTTATATTCATTATAATACTTCAATGAAAGAAATGGCAATTTTAATTTAATATTTTTAAGTACATTATTTTATAAAATACTAAAATAATAGTATTGATTATAAATGCTATATATTGCTCTCTTGCCGGTTAAACACGTGCGAAAAATGGATATAGCTGTTATGAAGCTCTCTCTGTTTTTGCCATTAGTTACTTATGGTCGATGACAGCGCTTCAATATCCATTTTTGTCAATTTTTCGCGCCGCATAAATACAGGCCAGGGAGCGATTTATAGTATTTATAATCAATGATAATAGATATCATTTGGAAATTGAATATGTACTAAAAATTCATTGTCAAATGTAATAATTTATTTAATAAACCTTTCAATAGTTATTTTGAAGTGCAACTATGGAAGTACCTACTGATAATTGAAAATTTTAAACAATGAATGTTCATAATTTATTATTACTTTTTTTTCTAATTTCTTTTATTATCGATTTCCAATGAAATAAAGACATAATTTAATATACTCAACAGTATTAATAAAAAAAATAAGGGCTTATGGTAGACGAGTTCTGTAACAAAATGTAACTACAATAGTACTAAAAGCATATTATGTTGTTAAAAATCAAATTTGAATCTCTAATTATTTTATATTTTGTTTTTATTTTTTAGGTATTTGGTGGGGGTCAATGTGGGATTAACACCAATACAATTACTTGAATATTACTATATGATTACTTATCGCTTTTTTTATTACCGCACGATTCTTATGTTACATTTATAATTTATAATGATGTATACACAGTCATAGAAATATCTGTTGTTATTATATTTATTATTTTATTTTTTGATTGTATTATGATTATATTTAAAATTCCACCGTTTTCTCTTGGTGTTATATTGAATTAGTGCATTTGTATAATATATGTATTGTAAAATAATTTATTTATGAAATGTATTAGTTAATCAATTTTTATCTATATTATATTTATAAATATTATAAAACATTATATCAAACAACTGAAGTTCTAATTTTGAAATTTGTTTCTAAGAGAGAATAATTCATAATTTAGTCGGCCTGTAGTTAAATCAAGCTTGATCTTGTTTGCTTCATTTTATTAAGAAATAAAATGAAGTAATGTAAACAAGTGCAGTTTTTTTAACCTCAACCTTCCTCCGAATCATTTTTCAAATGCCCTTATTTATTATTACTTTTAAATTTAATATCTCAACTGAAATATGTTACCCAGTGACCTGCCCAGTTCTTCTAGAGCTAGGAAATTATAATTTTGAGACATCCGAAAGTAAACTGTTGATACCAATGACACAAAAAAAAAATGTTAACATTGTTATTTTATATTTATGTTATTAAAATATAGGTGTCTAAGAATATTGCGCATTCGTTAATTAGCAAATTATTTTGAGTTAAGAATTCGTTAAAATTTTTCTTTTTAAACCTAAGATATGAAAATGTAATACAAGCTTCCTCATAAGTTTGTCTACCTTTATCAAAAAAAAAAAAAAATGTCTATAAGAAATCCAAATTAAATTTTTATGAGCATTTGAAATTCAAATTTTTACATCATTGGATATTCAGGCACTTTTCTGTTTTCAGATACCAATTACCAGTAGCGATATGTTTTATTATTCCTAATTGTGAGGATAGATACAATTTATTAGATATCAATATATCATCAAAATTAAAACATACATATGAAGCTTATAGCAAAATAAATCATACTAAACAAAAAAATTTAGCTACATCAAAAAATGTATACATATATTCATGTGTCAATGTAAGTAGTGAGTAAATTTAATTATAATAAAACTTGGATATACAGTATACACGTTTGGACATGATTAATATATAATATATGATACTAATGATAATATATGATTATAATTTTTAAAATAACGTAAAAGGTAATAAAAATGTAATTTAGTCGGTTAGTTCATATTAGGTAGGTACGTAAGCCATAAACAAAACAAAAACAATTTGCTGGTAAATGTACTGTGTACACTGTACACACTACACACTAGTCGACTTGTGTCTTGTACAAGTACAATGTACAAATTATAAGCTACACAGCTGTCGGCTAGACAGATTTATGACAATTGGGTATATTATAACATTAACAATTAGTAACGAATAACGACAACACGAGTAAACGACAGCTTAAATTTTTATGAGCGTTTGAAATTCAAATTTTTACAATATTGGATATTCACTCGATTTCTCATGTAGCGATTCCCTTATTTTGTTGTAATTCAAAAACGAACAACTGCAGATACATGAAAATTTCACTAAATGTTTATATTAGCATTTCCTATACACCATATCATTTTGAAAATAATTTGACTCTTTTTGAGTAAATAAAAACATTTGTGTGACTCGAAGAGTAAATGTTAAAAGAAAAGAAAATATTGTAAACTTTAAATAACTATTTTGTGTAAGTGAGAATAAAAGCACAATTGAAATGTAAATACAATAGCGTTGCCTATATTCTTACATAAGTCTTATACTTTTCTTATTCTCGTGTCGGCAAAATATATCACCGTACAAAGCTAAAACTATACTCGTCTATTACGACAAAATTTTATTATTATTATATGACTCGTCGTGGCTCGACTGTTGGGCGGCGATTGCCAATCTAATTTGTTTTTCTCTTCTTGCGCCGACGGTGGACATATCATATATTATAATAATAGTAAAAACACTTACTGAACAACGAGACGGTTGGGTGAAAAAAAACAGAATTAACAGTACTCTTCGACCTCGGGAAACCATATAACGACAAAGGTCTTGGAGTTTTTTTTTTCATAATACATATAATGCGCTCGTGTATTGTGCTGTTATTTTTTTTTTAACGCGTTTTTACACTGCATAGTAAAATAAACATTATCTTTTCTTTTTGATGTTGCTTAAATAAGCATAAGGTAAAATCGACTGTTACATTATAATTTGTCCGTTTTTACACACAGTGTTTATCAACTAAAGAGCAAAGTAGGTACGTGTTTTGCAAACATTCTTTGAAGCTTCCGAAAATGTCACAACCGGAAAACATAGCATTATTATAGTTATGCCTGTATATATTCTGGCAACAAGCCTATAATGTTTCGCAGTGTTTCGATGTTGTTTTTTATAGTTAATTTTCAACGATGTTACAAACTTACAACCCATTCAATATCCCGACCGAACCGTGTAGGTACTTATTATTGTAAAGGAATTATTGGTGTTAAAAAATAAAAACAATCTAAAAGTTATAATAATATTCGAACCGAACCAAATGCCTAAAAGTTTGGTTAAAATGTATAGTTTATATATAGTTTGCAAATTTAATTCTATTCTATTTTTTTTTTTTTGATTACTTTATTATTAAATTCCGTAAATTAACATAATTTTGGCATTTTTTTTTAAAGCTCCGGTTCAGTTTCCTTTTGAATAGTACGATTCGGTTCAAATTCAATAAATTAAAAAGAAAAGTTCAACAATTATTGTTTGTAAGTTTGTAACAAGTTAATAGTTACATATTGCATTTTTAATACTTAACGTGTATAGGTATCTGTGTATGTTATAAATCATAATAATATGTGGATACGTGCATGTGGGTATAAGGGTACTCGTACTTCTCGGGTATATACATACCTATTGTTACTAAGTGGTAACGTCAAGATGCGTAGGTGCAGATGGTATATACTGACGTTAATTGTTTGAAAAAAAAGTATAATATATATATATAATGTAAAACCTTTTTCAAGTGAAAGTTTAGGATGTACGGCCGTACCCCTTGCCTATAGATACTGTATCTCGGTTCTCATGTGATTTGTGTGGTCATCGTTCCAGTCCACGCATTCACGATTTCCCAATATACTCTGCGTATTACTAAAATATTAATCGATGGTCTATTTCATCAAAATAATCATTTTACTCTTTTATATTTGAATATCGTATCGTGTTCCGTGCTTCTGTAAAATATTACATCCGCCTATTTTTGAACACCTTCCGCCTGAGTCATTATATTATTCAGTGAGCTTGTCTCCTTATGTTAAACAGGAGGAAATCCTATTTCCGTTTTTAATATCCGATTTATGCCGATCTACAGTATATTATGCTAAATATGCACCTGTGGAATTGGTTTGATTGTTACGTAGGTAGTAACTTGCTTACTACAATAATGCTTTATATTTTATTTCGGGAATTTGAATTTGACGTCGGCTG